CCCCCCCCCCCCCCCCCCACTCGACACCATATCTCTCTCCCAGCTCTTCGGTGCATGTCTGCTGTGAAATTGTCAGTCTGCCTGCCTCTCTGTCCCTCTCGCAATAGCAACCGGAGTACCACTTCAACTCCCCTAGAGACTTTACTGACACGTACTCTCCCAGGTCCTTGCCGAATTGATCACACCTCTCCTTCGTCCCCACTGCAAGAATATCGTCTACGTGTACTACGAGAAGCAACACTACTTCCCCCCTTTCGACTAAACGAAAAGCACACGAATCAGCCAATCACTGCTCGAACCCCAAAGCCAAAAGGCACTTCTTCAGTAACGCGTACCACTCTATAGATGCCTGCCTCAAGCCATGAAGGCTCTTGTTCAACTGCATTATCTTCCCCGACAACGCACCACATCCTTCCGGCAGTCGCATGAAAATATCTTCCTTGACAGGGGGACCCTCACAAAAGCCTGGTCGATATCGAAATGACACAACTCCAAGTCAAGCTCACACGCCAAAGCTGCCAACATACGAACACTAGATGAAGCTACAGTAGGTGCATACAAATCACCAAAGTTAATGTACTCCTGCATGTCTCCTCTCGCAACAAGTCTAGCCTTGGCCTTCGTAAGAAAGCCGAACGCATCCACCTTCCAATCAATAATCAACTTCGACTTGATGCCATTGTCTATTCGCTGCTACGGTCCAACAATCTTAAACGCATCTGCTTCTAGCAATCCAAACACCTCACGCTTGGCCGCATCCATGAACTGCTCGCTGTGCTCGCTCTGCTTTGCCTCTTTGAAAGTCTGGGGTACTCGGAGGTCCTTGGCGTGGCAGCGCGGCATGTCGGGTCGCAAAAGGGGCCGCTCCATCTCGCGCACAGCTGAGTCGAGGTCGTCGCGCGTCGCAAGACGCGCCACAAGTCCAAGCGGAACGCCCCGCTCAGAGGGACCGATCGACCAACCATTCCCCATGCGTCCCTTCTCGCCGGTGTCCATNGGTACTCGGAGGTCCTTGGCGTGGCAGCGCGGCATGTCGGGTCGCAAAAGGGGCCGCTCCATCTCGCGCACAGCTGAGTCGAGGTCGTCGCGCGTCGCAAGACGCGCCACAAGTCCGAGCGGAACGCCCCGCTCAGACGGACCGATCGACCAACCATTCCCCATGCGTCCCTCCTCGCCGGTGTCCACCTCCGGCAGCTTTCCCGTGCTCTCTACCACGCCCTCACTCCTCGCGAGCTGCTCGCCTCCGCCCCCCTTCTCGCCGCCCCCCTCCAATCCTGGCCGGAGCATTGTCTTGCCGTTCATGACTCGCCGAGCATCCAGCATGGAGAGGAGGACGTCTTCTTTTGCTTGAGCCAGTAGCCCCATGGTGATCTCGGTCGGAGGCAGAGGCGTGGTGACGGCATCGTCCTGCAGTGATGNGCCTCCCTTGCCGGTGTAGAGTTCCTGCGGCGACGCACCCCCGGGGTTGGAAGGAGGTGCTGACTGGTTCAGCTCCTGTGCGGCGTCTTTTGCGGACTTTGCCCAGAGCTCATCGCCACGAACACTAGGCAGGCGAACACGAGAAAATCCTGCGGGGCCAAGCAGCTCCTGGGCGGCCCGGCGGGATGCCTTGGCCATCTTGAGGCACCTCTGGATGGCGCTCTCGACGATGTNGATCGCGGTACCAGCCTTGTGGGCGGCATCCACGACCATGCGCTTGACGATCGCTAGCGCCTCCGCCTTACGCCGCATGGCGTAGCAGACCATCCATCCCGTGGCGGCGTCCACACCGAAGAGCATATTGTGGTTGCCACCGATCGTCGCCGTATACGCGCCGCAGAGGTCGATGTGGAACACGTCGTTCGGCGCCCTCTTGCCGCGGTACCTGCCCCCTGCTTCGGCACCGGCGCCCTCGTCCCACGCGCCGGTAAGCACCATCGACAGCTGTCCATCGTGCCCGTGAGGGTAATCCCGTGCTGCTTCGCGGACAGTCTCAAAATGGGTTCGGACAAGTGGCCGGCACGGTTGTGG